CGCATTCCTTCACTATTGTCTAGCTGGTGCATTTTGTACCTGTTTGAGGTATGTCCCTGTTTGGTGAGAAATTAAAAAGGCAAGGAATGTTGTCGTCGTCATGCTGTTGACTCTCAGGAAGTGTGACCCATAAACGGAGGCCACGGGGGGGGGGGGGGCCAGCTTTGGCAAACATATTGGGCAAACACATACAATCGGTCGCCCATTTCCTTTGGGGGCAGAAGAAAGAACATACTGACTCTAAGTCAGAAGTCTCCAAACTTGGCCACTTTAAGACTTGTGGACTTCAACTCCCAGAATTCTCCAGCCAGCTATGCTTGTGGAGTTGATCTTGATTGTATCCCTCTGTTAATGCAACTTAGGACTGCATTAGTTTTTTTAGCTGCCGCTGCACACGGCTGGCTCATATAATCCTTGCTGCTGTCAGGATATCTAAAACTAAATATGCAGTTCCTTTATCATAACCTGACCCCAGAAAGTTTTCAAGGATAGCCTCATGTTAGGAGAATTACAGGGATCCCAGTCAAAAGATGACCACGGCACGAGTGAAACTCTTCAGTGCCTCCTGCTCCAGGTGAGATGGCTTTAGACCCCCCAAAAAACTTCCTGTAATGCCTATGAAGATTCTCAGTCATCCAGGTCATGGTTATCCAAATGAAGTAAGAGACGAAGTCAAACAGCTGAAGAAGCTTCTTGGATGAGAAGCAAAACATCTTCAAAGAAAACATTCCCAGAAAGTCCAGTTGCCCCCTTTAAAAAAGCACCTTTGGGACAACTTCCTCTAATGTTACCTGGTTCTGGTAATGAAATGTCTGCAGGAAAGCAAGCAAGCTCAGAGAGCGCCAAGAACCCCTCATGTCAACCCTGAACTACAAATATTCTCCTTTAGTAGAACAAAAACTTCCACTCCGCTCTTCCAGAAGAGTCCAGGGATTTTGACCTAAGTCAGGGGTCCCCAAACTTGGCCACTTTAAGACTTGTGGACTTCAACTCCCAGAATTCTCTAGCCCATATGGCTGGCTGGAGAATTCTGGGAGTTGAAGTCTGCAAGTGTTAAAGTGGCCAAGTTCGAAGACCTCTGACCAAGGTCCTTGTGATGACCCAGGGTGGGATACAAAAGCAACAAAGTCACAAAAACGGGTGAAGTCCCTTTAATTCTTTCAACTTGGCTTCAAAGGTCCAATTATCATTGACTGGAGAAAAAAACTCCCCCACAAACAGTTGGGAAAAGGAAGAACTTCCATTCAAACTCAAAATACATATAAATTATAAATAGAAAAACAACAACACAAACCACACTGAAGCAATTGATGAGACAAGGCAGGATAAGGGCTTGAAGACATCCACAGATATTCGAAATACACACACTGGGAAGTGAGAACAGTGAGAACAATTAATCAGTGGAATGGCTTCCTTCCAGCAGTCATGGGTGCTCCATCACTGGAGATTTCCAAGAAGAGCTTGGATAGCCATTTGTCCAGAATAGAAGAGGGTCTCCTGGTATAGGCAGGAGATTGGATTAGAACAATGGTTCTTAAACTTTTCTTCACCAGAGACACCCTTTAAATATCTTTTGTGGCCACAGGTTGAGATCCACTGATATCTGAGGTCCCTTCCAACCTTATTATTCTATGTCTCACAACCCTGTTGAGAACTAGAGTTGATGCTACCCAATGGAGGCATTCACAGTGGTGAAGCCGGTGACCACAATGGGAGAATCACAGCCCTCTCTCGTCTGTGTTTACATTAATGTTTGGATGACCCAAAGTGGAAGGGATTGCTAACATTTCAGAAGGCCAACTTGAACATCAGGCCTAACGAAACATGTTTCAATCCCAAGAACTCCAGGATTCTCCACTACTTCGGGTTTTCTGTGTAAGTGTCATGCCCCTGTCAGAGTCTGAATCCAAGGAAGAAGCCGGACAGCTGAAAGGGAGCAAGCGTGTGGCTTTGTTGGCTGTGGAGGAGGCTGGAGAACGGCAAAGTCAGGCTGGGCAGAGCAGGAAAGAGGTAGAACAAGGGAGAGGGAGTTCAGAGGAAGACCCAGGCCCACTTCATCCTAGGGTGCGCAGGGAGGAACGGAGAGGAGAGCAATGTGCGTTGCATGGCTGATGGGGGAGGAAAGGGCCCTGATTCCCTTCATTAGCCATAGCTGGGAAGACAGTTTAAAAGAAAGACAGGCTGCGTGTGGCAACTTCTGGGAGCAAATGTGACTTTATCTTGTGTTGTAGTGGCTTATCTCTGTTCCTGGCATCTTCCCAACCATGTGAGTTTTGCCATGTCTTCAAGTCTGAAATTCTTGTTCCTGCCCTGCCAAACTAATTACTTCAGTTTGGCTTGTTTGGACTTAATTTTCTGCAGTCAAAGGCAGGGAGAGTTTTTCTCCAGCCAGAAGGTAACCTGGACATTGGAGTCAAAGTTGGAGATAATAAAGGAACTCTTATTGATTATCCAATTGTGTTGCCTTTGTGCCACACCCCTTTGGGTCATCACAGTAAGCCACCCAGAGTCATGTGTACGAGATGGGAGGCTACAGTTATAAATCATATTAATAGTATGAAAAAATAGATGTTTAGGTATAAGATAGGTAGTACCTGACTCATCAGTAATATTACACTCAGAAGGATCTGAGTGTTTTGGTAGGCCATTAATTAAATATGAGTCAACAGTGTGCAGCAACTGCCAGAGCCAATGTGATCTTGATATGCATCAACAGCAGCCCTAGTGCCAAGATCTCTATTGTGTTCCCCCTAGCTATCCATGGCTGGGAAACTTGGACCTTCAAACATCAAGACAGGAAGAAAATTGACTCATTTGAGTTGTGGTGCTGGAGAAGGTGCCTGCATATTCCCTGGACAGTAAAGATGACTAACAAGCAAGCACAGAAGGGCATAACATCAGACCTGTCACTGGAAAGCAAAATCATGAAACTGTGTCTCACTTATTTTGGCCATGTCATGCGGTGGAATTCACTGGAGAAAGCAATTATGTTGGGAAGAGTTAGGGATAAAAGGCCACCAGGACACCAAAGAACTCGCTGTCTACATACCATCAAAGCTGGCAGAGCAGCGAACGCCTCAAGGAAGTAGGGCAAGATCAGAAGATGAGGAAAGACCTGGCCAAGAAAATCGCCAAGAGTCAGACATGACTGAATGGATATCATCATCATCACCCCCCCCCACCATCATCATCGTCGTCAATGCAGACATTTTCCTCTTGGCTCCACTGCTGGGACCACCCCTGGGATCATGTGTCCAGTTGTGGTTATCACAATACAAGAGGAACACAAAGGAAGAGTGCAGAGAAGAGTGACAAAGATGGTGAAGAGATTGCAGCTAAATCATAGAACATAAAATAATAGAGTAGCAAAGGATCTTGGATGTCTTCTACCCTGTTTTCCCCCAAAATGCGACCTACCCTGAAAGTAAGTCATAGCTTGATTTTTACATGTACTCCCAACATAAGCCCTACCCCCCAAACAAGCCCTAATTAAGATCCTGCCCACTCTAGGGTGCACAGGTAAAATTGGTGGGGATGGAGGGTGGGGATGGAGGAGTGGAGCTGCCCTACTACTTACCTTTGGACAGTTGTAGCCAGGCCTCGCACTCGCCCCCGACACCTGCCTTGCCGGCCCATTTCTTCTGCAGCCGGCAAGGCTGGCCAGGCTTCCCTGAAGGCCTCTGGAGCTGAGAACAAAGCTCTGGATCGATCCAGAGGTCTGTTAGGGTTAGAAGAAGAAGCTCCTGAAGGCCTCTGACAGCGAAAAGGAGGCCGGGAGCAACACACAACTTCTGAACACAAGCTGTTCCACTGGTTAATTGTTTTCACCACCAGGAAGTTTCTTTTTAGTTCTAGGTTGCTTCTCTCCAAGAGCAGTGAAAGTAACTTAGTATGTTTAGCCTACAGCAGAGAAAGTTGAGCCAAGACATAATAATAGAGCCTTCCAAAACATGAAGGGAAAAGCAGACAGTGTGATTTATTCTCTGTAATGCCTGAGGGCAAGACAAGACAAGAACCAACAGGTGGAAGCTTACCAAGGGAAATCCAGACTTGAAAGAATACCTCCCTGTGGCCTCCCTCTGTATTTTTTTTTCTTTCCTCCAGCTGCTATCCTGGTTCGATTGATATGAATGATGAATGAAAATCTGTTCTATTTGGACTAAGTTAAATCTGAGCCTATTTTTCTTTGTCTTGATCCTGATAGTGTCCAGAATCATGCATCAGCTCAGGGTAGAGATTAGATTAGATTAACAGAGTTGGAAGGGACCTTGTAGGTCATCTAGTCCAACCCCCCACCCAAGCACAGGACCCTACACTATTTATGACAAATGGCAGTCCAGTCTCTTCTTGACAGCTTCCAGTGATGAAGCTCCCACAACTTCCAAAGGCAATTTCTGTTCCGTGGGTTGTTCTCACTGTCAGAAAATTTATCCTTATTTCCAGGTTGAATCCCTCCTTGTCCAGTTTCCATCCATTATTCCTTGTCTGGCCTTCAGGTCCTTTGGAAAATAGCTTGACCCCCTCCTCCTCTCTGTGGAAGAGATAGATGATTGTCAGCACTATGTTGTTGATGCCTCATACTAAACTGGTGGCTGACCTCTTTCAGTGGAGAGGGAAAGGACCAAGTCCTTGGATCTCCACCATGGATGGATGATTCAACCTAAAAATAAGGGGAAATTTCCTGACAGTAAGAACAACCAAACCAATGGAAGAGAAGTTTCCTTCAGAAGTTGTGGGAGCTTCATCGCTGGAAACTTTCAAGAAGAGACTGGACTGCCATCTGTCAGAAATGTTGCAGGGTCTCCAGCTTGGTTGGACTTCTAGATGACCAATAAGGTCCCTTCTAACTCTGTTCTGTAGAGATTCTCACTCATCCAAAGTTGCTTTTTCAGGAGGCTGGAACTCGATTTCCTAGTTTTTTCTTTTGAAAGAAGTTTTTCCCCCTTTTTTCTACAGATTTTTAGCTATACAATTTGGGATGAACACCCTTTGAATGCAGACTACAGGAACCAGAAGCACCACTCAGGTTGCCCCGAGGACACAGATAAACCTCTAAATGCTTCAAGGACACTGAGTGCCCCAGTTGATGACTTACCAAAAGTAACAGAGTTGGAAGGGAACTTGAAGGTCTTCTAGTCAACCCCCCGCTCAAGCAGAAGACCCTGGCCTAGGCCATTTCAGACAAATGGCTATCCAATCTCTTAAAAATCTCCAGTGTTGGAGCACCCACAATATCTGAAGCTCTGTTCCACTAATTAATTGCTCTCCCTATCAGAAAATTTCTCCATATTTCTACCAAAGATCTGAGTTTTCTTACCTAGTTTATTACTCTTCTACGTTTTCACGAGAGACGTCATTTTGTATGGATTATGGTTTTCTTCTTTCTTGCATGCAAACCAGAGGTACTTGGTTCAGTTGGGGGAGGCATATCAATGAATTAATGAACTAATTAATTAATATCAAAAGAACAAGAAGAGAAGAAGGGTTCTCAAGCAAGGTGGTGTTTGGACCCAACACAAATGGTGAGAGGGCCTTGATGGATCAATTGGACCTCTTGTTTTCTTCGGGGAATTGCTCCCAGGATGGGCTTTCTGAGGGTTGGCCATGCTTTGAGCATAGGTGGGATCTGGAGACATATACCTCTTCAGGCTTTGCTCTCTCAGTTTGACCGGATTCCAAAATCTTTCCTGCTCCACCCCACACATTTAGAAAATGAAGAAGGTCCACCTCAGTTTTGGCTCTGCCCTTCCAGGGAGAGTAAACCTCCCTCCCTCCCCCCTTTTGCTTGCAGCTGCCAAGGACTCCACCCCCACCCCAACATGGCTTATAAGGGAGGGATCGCTGGTGGCCAGCAGACTGAGTCAGGATGCCCTCTGCTAGCCTTCTCCTGCTAGTGGGACTCCTCAGCCTCTGGATTGAGCTGACACCAATCTCTGGATGGAAGAAGCATGGTAAGAGACCCCTTTTCTCCGGTGAAAGAAGAAACCTCAGCATCTGTTCCCAGATGTTTGAAGTTTATTCTACAAGTATTTCTTCTACTTTGAGATAGATTTTATTTCCTGTTTTATGCTCTCAACCTTCGTAGAGAAAGACAGGCTACTTGTGAACAAGTAGGGTGCTATCTAGACAACGTGAAAAGAGTGGTCACCTTGAATTTGTTTATTCTTTGGACATGGAACCTCAGTTAGGTATTGTCCAGATCAAGGTTAACTGCTGCCCTTCATAAATGCCACTTATGGGAACTTTTGTGTGAAAGTTACATGCCCACTTTACTATAATGTCTGATCCTCTTTTCTCAACTTCTTCTTGTCCTTGTCTCAAGATGCTTATCATTCTTGAGTTTAGGATCTTGTTATATGTCAAAGGATAGAATTTTAAGGATGGAAGGAATAATGGAAGCTTGAGATCGGGAATGCAAAATGCCAAGAAACCACCTCAGGAAAGAAGACATCCAAAGACATGTGCTCCATTTCTAAGATCTTCCTCCAAATGTCTAACACAAACCTGCTTGTGGGATCCTTGGTGCTTCCTGAGTTTGGCTGATTTCTTGCAGATGTTTCAATACTTACCTAGGTGGTTAAGGTTGAAGGTGTTATTTAGTTGGGTAATGAAATGTCTGCAAAAAACAATCAACTCCTCCTCCTCCTCTATCAACCCTCCTCCTTGTAGCATTGATGATGTTACTTAGTTGAGTAATAAAACATCTGAAAGAAAACCACCAAGGTCAGAGATCACCAAAGACCCCACCATTGACTTCTTCCTCTTCCTCTTCTTCTTTTTCTTCTTTATCTTCCTCTTCCTCCTCTTCTTCTCCTCCTCCTCTACCTCCTCCTCCAACCCCATTTGCTTCTAGTACTGGTGATGTTTTATTTATTTTATTTTATTTATTTGATTTGTCAATCGCTTACAAGATAACAGGTATAAGTGTAAACATAGTTTTGAATACATGAGATGGATACGTATAAGAAAAATAAAAAGAATCAATAGGACAGGGACGGTAGGCACGATTGGTATGTTCCCTAATTGGGTATTGAAATGTCTGCCAGAAAACAACTGAACTCAGAAAGCACTAAACACTCCACGCTATCCTTCCTCTTCTTCCTCTCCGCAAGGCCCACTACCTTCCAGCACTGATGATGTACTTAGTTTGGCACCTCACTTCCTCTGTCTTAAGATCTTCTACGGAAGTTTGCAAAAGTATTTAGAAAGTACCTTACTGCCAGAATGTTCAACCTTGGCAATTTTAAGACTTGTGGACTTCAACTCTCAGAATTCCTGGCTGGGAAATTCTGGGATTTGAAGTTCACAAGTCTTAAATTTGCCAAGATTGGACACCCCTCCCCTGCAATAACAGATAACAGATATAAGGGGCACCTGAGTCTTGGATGACTGCAGTGGCCCCCAGTTTCTGCAAACAATTTGAAGAGAGTCGGGGTCTCCTTTTGATGCAAGAATGACTCAAATTATGTGAAGGACACCCCTCCTGTGAGAAACCTGCCCATCTCTTGAGAGAGCTCTTGAGTGTGTTTTTACAACTCTGAAAGCATGTCAGGTTACTCAACTTAAACAACAACAGAAGAATGTTGGCCAAGGCATTTTTTGTCAACTTGGTGCCAATTTTGATAATTACTGCATTGATTCTAAGGAACCGACTGATGGATTCCTTTGCAATCTTCTCTAACATCTTTCTAAATGCTGACGTCAGACTGATTAGTCCTCTTGTTTTTAAAGATGGGGAAATTTTGTGTCCTCCACTTGGGACTAACACTTCTAAAATCTAACATCCAATACTAACATGGGCTCCCCAGGCCCTCCCTGCCCCCTTTTTTTGCATTGTAATGCGTTGCATGGTCTCCACGTGGAACAAGGATTACGGTCCATTGAAGGAGAAAGAAGGGAGAGATACTTGTCCTGGCTTCAATTGTCCCAGTTTGTCCAGGAGAACGGCAGATTTCAACAGAAGAGCATCTTTATAAACAACGGGACCTTGGTGCTCTCTGAGCTTGGTTACTTTCTTGCAGACATTTCATTACCCAGCTAGGGAACATCATCAGTGCTAGAAGGGAGGGGGTTTGTGGAGAGGAGGGGGAGGAGGGGAAGGGAGATTGTGAGGTACTTGGTGCTTTCTGAACTTGGTGATTCTCTTGTGAATGGCCCAATGTGAATGACCTTGGTGCTCTCTGAGCTTGGTTACTTTCTCGCAGACATTTCATGACCCAACTAGATAATATCATCAGTGCTGGGAGGCAGAGGGGTTTGTGGAGAGGAGGAGGAGGAGGAGGAGGAAGAGGAAGAGGAGGAAGAGAAGGAGAAGGAGAAGGAGAAGAAAGGAAGGGAGGAGGAGGAGGAGGAGGAGGAGGAGGAGGAAAAGAAGAGCACTATGGAATCCTTGATGGTCTCCAAAGTTGGTTGTTTACTTGGAGATGTTTCATTACCCAACTAGGTGGCATCATCAGTGCTTAGAAAGGAGTGGGGTTGCTACATGGAAGGAGAAGGGAATGAGGAAGTTTTCTTGCAGATATTTTGGTACCCAATATCATCAATGCTATTAGTTCTATCATGATACAGTAGCCCTGATGATGTCTCCTAATTGGGTAATGAAAAAGCCTGCAAGGGAAAAAAAACACACACAACCTCAGAGAACACCAAGGAACCCACAACCTCAGAATGGGGGATCCTAGGGGTTCATAAACCGGATGCCCAGAGCTGGGCCTGAGTTTGGAGAAGCATTGTAGAGATCTCCATACTCCTTTGGACTCTCCTTCCAAGCCAATGAATCCCCTTTTCACCACAGAAAGATGTCACTACCCTGTTGACCCTGGACACTGTAGAGCGCACATGACTCGCTTCTACTACAATCACAAATATAACAAGTGTAAGAAGTTCATTTATGGCGGCTGTAAAGGAAACGACAACAATTTTGAGAGTTTTGAGGAATGCCTTCACTTCTGTAAAGGTAAGTGGGGAAGGGGATTTCGGGATGGGTTGGCCCTGTCAAAGACCTCCAGCTTGGGTAAAAAGAGGAAGCAGCCTCAGGCCCCACAATTAGAGAAATTTTAGTTCAGAATAGAGTGGGAAGGGACCTTGGAGGTCTTTTAGTCCAACCCCCTGCTCAAACAGGAAAGCATTATATAGCATTTCAGACAAGTGGTTGTCCAGTCTTTTCTTCAACACCTCAAGTGATGGAGAACCCACAACTTCTGAAGACAAGCCACTGGACAGTCACTTATCCCTTCCAGCTCTATTCTACTCTACTCTGTCCTTCATTTGGGTATGGCTAGCCTAGGGAAGGGAAGGCCCAGGGGTGACATGATAGCATCTTCCAATATCTGAGGCGCTGCCCCAAAGAAGAGGAAGGGGTCAAACTAGTTTCCAAAGCACCAGAGAAGGCAGGACAAGAAATAACAGATGGAAACTGATCTGAGGAGAGAAGCAACCTGGAATCAAGGAGGAATTTCCTGACAGTGAGAACAATTAACCAGTGGAACAGCTTGCCACCAGAAATCGTGGGTGCTCCAACACTGGAAGTTTTCAAGAAGAGTCTGGATAGCGATTTGTCCAGAACAGTATAGAGTATCCTGCTTGGGCAGGGGATTGGACTAGAAGACCTCCAAGGTTCCTTCTAATTGTGTATTCTGTTTGTCAGGGCTCCAACAAATCCACCCCCATTCAAATCATAAGTCCCTCAGAGTAAAAAAATATATGATTTATTAGGAGTGGCCATGTTGGCATTACCTGGGTGCAGCTGACACCAAAATACATCATTCATTTCCCCCTTGACCCTGGTCTTCCCTCAACCCCCTGGATGTATATTCTCCAATGGGACACATCCATAGCCAAGAGTCATCCATCATGCTCTCCAGTAATAATCTTGCACGCCAACAGCTTTGGACTGCCTAGCAATTATCTGAAGCATTTCAGGAATGCACTACTTCCCCCCACCTCTCTTTCTGCTGGCAACTAAAAAAGCCAAAGAAGTATTATTATTATTTTTAGTTGACATTGTTATTCTGTCTAGAAGGAAAACAATTTTCCTCTTTGGAGGAAACAAGATTGCAGATTTCCGCTCCAGGATCCCAAATGAATAGAGAGGAGCCCAGTTCTAGGTCCAGCCCAGGGTCCTGAGAAGTTGACCCCACAATGGTTGTCCATGACTGTGTTTTGTGGGGAAGTAAGGCATGGGGGAGGTAGGATCCTGTTCCACCTGTCCATGTCTCAATCTGGATTCACGGAGATGTTTTGGCTGCTCAAAGACCCAGAGACGGGGTCTTGCTTGATCTGGGATTCCAATTCCAGAGGATTCTCTCAGACTTGGGATCATCTGTTTTGCAGAAAAACCCGGGGTGTGTCCCAAGGCCCCTCCAGGCCTGATCACTGTTTGTCCCGTGAAGTGTGAAAGTGACTGGGAGTGCCATGGGAAACAAAAGTGTTGCCCTTATGGATGCATCGTTGACTGCACGGATCCAGTCTAAGGTAAGAGCATCAATCTCTCTGGAGGGCTTCATAGATCCCGGAATGGACTGGATCCAAGTGGATCTCTCTGGAATCCTTGAAACTTCTGTCCTTCTTGGCTGTGACCTTGGAAGAGCCAAGACTCAAATATGATGAAAGGAGAACATCCAGGTCTTCTCCAGCCATCAGAGACCTGGCAGCGAAGGCCAGTCCCACCTCAGAAGGATGGACAGAGAGGGTGGAGGGAGGGGAAAGTTCTCTCTTAGCTGAGCCTTAAGGGAGGGTCCGATTCTGGGTTTAAAAGATTGGGAAGGGGGGCCTCTTTGATTCCAGAGGACCTGGTCTTCTTTGCTCCTTGAGGGAATGAAGTCCCCAATCCTGCCATTTATTTTATATGTGTTCTAAATTCCTCTCTTTGACTATGTTGAGGCCACAGGAATCTTAAGAGCCATGGCTTCGATTCATTTGATGAATTTGGAAGTCCTGTCACCATCATCACCACCTCTTAGGAGGCCAGAAGAAAGGAGGCAGGCCTGGGAGGGTGGAAGGTCCAGAAAGCTCTGAAGGGCAGCAGATGCTGACCAATGGCCATGTATCTGAGAGTGCGGAGGATGGCCTGGGAGGATGACCTCCACTCGTGGGAATCTCACACAATCCCAGCACATGGGACCTGCCTATGTTTCCTCGGTGCTGAAAGGAAGACATGTAAACCCATCAGTTGCACCATGTCATGCTCCACGCCCAAGCACTAAAGGATTTCTTTGGTAGGAAACATTGATAGGACCACTCTACTCAACCCAGGTGACTCTGGGCAGCTTAGAAGAATAGAATAGAATTCTCTATTGGCCAAGTGTGATTGGACACACAAGGAATTTGTCTGGTGCAAATGCTCTCAGTGTACATAAAAGAATAGATACATTCATCAAGAGTCAAGAATCATCAGGTACAATACTTAATAATACTCATAGGGTAAAATAAGCAATCAAATCATCATAGGAAACAGTCAATATAGATCATAAGGATACAAGTGTCAAAGTTACAGTCCTACAGTCACAAGTGGGAGGGGATGGGTGATAAGGAGTGATGAGAAGATGAATAGTAATAGGAGTGCAGCCTTTGTAAATAGAAAAATAAAATGCAAGGAAATCTAACAGAACTATTTTTAAAAAACCCTCAGGGCGCAGATCAACAGGCAATATTAAATCAATACAGCCCATCATCATTTAATGGAGGCTCTGGCACATCACGAGTCGAAGGCCCTGGGAAGAGCCAAGTTTTTCTAACAGGGTCAGGGCAGCCATAGGTTGGGAGAAGAATGTCCCATGAGGCAGGGTTCGTGTCCCTCGAGTTGGCATCGCTTCAACAAATGGACGCAGAATCCTTGTCAGTACGCATGGGGTGGGATGATGCAGGTCATGAGATAACCTGGTCCTATGCCATGTAGAGCAGGGGTGTCCAACCTTGGCAAAGCTGGCTGAGGAATTCTGGGAGTTGAAGTCCACAACTCTTAAAGTTGCCAAGGTTGGACACCCCTGATGTAGAGCTTCAATGGTTTACTTTTAATTGTACTCCAAAGCCCATTGGGAGCCACTGCAGCAGCCCTAAGAGTAGTGGAGGCATATGGGCAAGCGGTGGAGAGACCACAACAACACATGTCATCACATTCTAGACCAGTTTCTAGGGAAGTCCCCTGTAGAGTGCATTGCAACAGTCCACCAGGAAGTGATTATGACATGAGCAAGGTCTCCTGATGCAGAGAAGGACAATTGGTACAAATTTCTTCCCATTCTCTGGGGGTAGCAGCCTGATAGAATCTTCTAGGTCTTTCCTCTTCCTCCTCCTCCTCCTCCTCCTCCTCCTCCCCCCTCCTCCCACTCATGATGTTATGTATCTGGGTGATTAAACACCTGCAAGAAAACAACCAAACTGAGAGAGCACCAAGGACCTTTCAGTTGTCCTTCTCCCTGTCTCCTTCTCCTTCACCACTTCCAGCACTGATGATGTTCCCAAGTTGGGTCATGAAACATCTGCAAGAAAACAACCAAGCTCAGAGAGCACTAAGGACCCCACAGTTCTCCTCCTCCTCCTCCTCCTGCTCCTCCTGCTCCTCCTGCTCCTCCTCCTCCTCCTCCTCCTCCTCCATCTCCATTCTTCTTGAATAATGACATCCACTTGAATGCTTCTGGAGTTGACACTGGAATGGGGACATTTGGGACAAAGGGACAAAGGAGCAGTGGACTAGACACAGGTCTACACTCAGGTGTCACATATATTTATGGCTTGATCAGGTGAGCCAATTATAACCCCTTGTTTCTGTCAGACAGGGTCTATACCCCAATTGGTGATTGTCTTCATTTGGACATCTAGTGCAAAGTTCTTATTGGTAGCCTCATGTCTCTTGTCGTAACCATCTTCCCTCCCACTTGCCTTCTACTTTCTCCTCCTGAAAGTCCTTCATTGCTCCTGGAATGGTGCACATCGAATTAAAATTGCTGGCAATGGGACTCTTTTGAGAGAAGGTAGAATCCACCTACTAGGGTCCACCTCACCTGCACAGATGAACAGCCATTTGGCTGTGGACTTAGGTGACATAAAGTCCAATGGATTGGTCTGGTGACCCAACTACAAACTCTAGCTCTCTGAGAGGTCCTCTAAGGCTATCAGTGATGGTCCCACAAACTTTTGAATTCTCTGTTGTTGTAAGATTAAGCAGGGCAAGGCTCGGGGCCTCACGGTTGTAAGATTTAAGCAGAGTGTGGAAGACATCTCTGAGGAGAAACATCCTAACTGACTCTCTTTCTACAGGTTCCCGTCCATCAAGATTCACCATTCAACTTTTCCAAATTGTGTCTGGTGCCTCAACTTAGACCAAAGACCCACCAGCCGCCATGGGGACCCTTCCCCTCAAATACACGGTGGACTAATTCTTCTTTCCTCAAAATAAAGGCATTGGGTCCCTACTTCCCATGGAGTGGTGTTTCTTCTGTCCCTTGGAGGCTCTCCGCCCTCCCCTTTATGTGTTTTCCTCCCCATGTCTGAGGCTGAGGGGCTGATCAAGCAAGGGATCTCTCAAAGGCTGAGAGATTTAGGGGTTCGGGAATTCTCTGTGCAGCCGGATTTTCAATCCAGCCTCCATGAAGGAAGTCAGGGGTAGACAAGGAGACTCTGCTATCCTATAATAATGGCTTGACCTCAATGGAGAAATGATGCACACAAGCATGTCTTCTTTGAGAGTCAGAGTTGGCTATGATGCTAAGCAAGGATGGGTCAAGGACACCTTGCCCTGACCATCTTGTCATGGCCGGCTCACCTTAAGCAGAGGGACAATCCCTCTGAAAGCTAATTCAGCATGGATCCAGTTGAACATCAAACCATCTTTAATAAATTCCCTGTAAGACTAGATGAAAAAAAGGCTAAATAAGTGGACTTTCTTTTTTTGCTTTAGCATATGGCAAAAATGTTAAAAAGCACAACTACCTTCTCAATGAGCAAATATGAAACTATTTAGCCTGTTTACACATTCAAAGGTAGACTATTGTAAATACACGATGGAGTTGTATAAAGAAAGCCTCCAGCATTTCCCTGATACGCACACAGAGGGCACTGCTCCACAATATATCGCATTACTTTTTTGGAGCACCACAGCACCACCTTCCGAAGAGGAAAGCTTTCCCGATTTATGGAGGATTGACCAGATCTTATAGAGTAGATCAAATCAGGGTAACAGATTTGGAACGGACCTTGTAGGTCACCTAATCTAGCCCCCCATCCCAAGCAGGAGACCCTACACCATTTCTGACAAATGGCAGTCCAGTCTCTTCTCGAAAGCCTCCAGGCTCCCACAACTTCTGAAGGCAACTTCTGTTCCATGGGTTGATTGTCCTCCCTGTCAGAAAGTTCCTCCTTATTTCGAGGCTGAATCTCTCTTTGAACAGTTTCCATCCATTATTCCTTGTCTGGCCTTCGGGTGCTTTGGAAAATAACTTGACCCCTTCCTCCTCTCTGTGGCAGCCCCTCAAGGCTGCTGTCCTGTCTCCCCTGGTCCTTCTCTTCACTAGACTAGCCATGCACAGTTCCTGCAGCTGTTCTTCATGTTTTAGCCTCCAGTCCCCTAATCATCTTTGTTGAATTCTTTGGATTCAGCTGTAAAGCAGTGAATTGTTGTGACACTCTGGAGAAGCTCTTCAGAGTGGACCTTTCACTAAGTGGGACAACCGCTAACCAGTCATGGTAGCCTTGATTCGTTTCCTATCTCAAGAGATGAAGGCTCTGGAATTTCATCAGAGTCCCTTAAGGAGTAGCTGAAAGACTAGTACAGCAACCCAGCCACGGGAGGTAAAATACGAAACCTGTCTTTGTATTTGCAAGGCATGACTCAGCTGGCGGTTACTTTTTGGAGAACAATTTTTCACTTTTACTTGAGGAAAAGGGAAGTTCTGGAAATAGAATTAGGTTTGCTGTAAAAAAAAAAAAGAGGTGAAGAGTAGGTGATGATGATGAAGGTGACATCCCTTCAGTTGTGTCTGACTCTTGGCAGTTCTCTGGGCCAGGTGGTCTCTCCACATCTTCCAATCCTGCCCTTCTTCTTTGTTCTACATTCTGGCTGGTGTCAGCTTTGAGTTCTTTGGCTGCTTGGTTTCCTTTTAGCACTTAGACTTGTATACCGCTTCACAGTGCTTTTCCAGCCCTCTCTAAGCAGTTTACAGAGTCAGCCTCTTGCCCCCAACAATCTGTGTCCTCATTTTACCAACCCCAGAAGGATGGAAGGCTGAGACAACCTTTAGAAAGAAGGAAGGAAGGAAGGAGGGAGGGAGGGAGAGAGGAAGGAAGGAGGGAAATGTGAAAGACAGGAAGATAGCAATAGCACTTAAACTTATATACCACTTCACCGTGCTTTTACAGCCCTCTCTAAGCGGTTTACAGTCAGCCTCTTGCCCCCAACAATTTGGGTCCTCATTTTACCTACCTCAAAAGGACAGAAGGCTGAGTCAACCTTGAGCCTGGTGAGATTCGAACTGCCAAATTGCAGGCAGCTGGCACTCAGTAGAAGCAGCCTGCAGTACTGCACTCTAACCACTGCACCACCGAGGCTCTTTTTATTATTAACTCTTCCAAACATAATTGTGAATTCTCCCGCATGACATGTTTAAGCAGCAAACGGCCTCTGGATTCCCACCAAGTATGACCTTTAAGCAAAAAAGGGTGTCCAGATTCCTCTAATCACTGGGGGTTCAGAATCCTGGTTTGGGCAGATGTATGGGGACACCAGAACCAGAATCAGAATAGAGCTGGAAGGGACCTTGGAGATCTTCTAGTCCAGCCCCCTTTTCAAGCAGGGGATCCTAGACCGTTCCAGACAAGTGACTGTCCAATCTTCTTAAAAGCCTCCAGTGTTGGAGCGCCACAATTTCTGGTGGCAAGCTGTTTCACTGGTCAATTGTCCTCACAGTTAGAAAATTTCTCCTCAATTCCAGGTTGCTTCTCTCCTGGATTAGTTTCCATCCGTTGTTCCTTTTCCTGCCCTCTGGGGCTTTGGAAAATAAACTGAGCCCCTCTTCTTCTTGGTGGCAGCCTCAGGCTGTGTTACATACCTCCAGGGGGTTAACGCCTTGGGGTATTTTCCAGTCCCTTGGAGGAAGAGCCCAGCTAAGAGAACAAGAATCCAAGACCCCAGCTGGAAGTGTCACGAATGCTCCCTTCTCAACATCTTCATTTCAAACGTCCCATGACTGATTCCTGATGAGTCAGGTGGTGCAACATCTCCATGGCAGTTTACTCACATGTTCTGTGCAAGAAGAGGCCATAAACAGGAGATGAAATGTTTGCCCAGAGGTTGAGTAAGCTGGGTTTTGCAGCCCATCTTGAGGGATCTGGCCTGGTAAATGTTTGAGTTTCCTCATTCCGTGGGTTGTGTGGTTCAAGCCAAGTTGGAACAAAGCTCACTCTGTGGTTTGCATGCCACCTTGTCATAGGCTGATGATTGATCTCTTTCACCAGCTTCATATAGCTTTATTAAACAGGAGGGAGAAAGGACCCAGCCTGGAAGTGGTCTATCTTGAAGGGGTTGCCACCCCTGACTGGACCACCCACTTAGGTAGAACTACTCCAACTCCCAACCATTTAGGTCAGGGGTCTCCAAACCTCTCCAGATAGCTAGGCAGGTCTGGGGAATTCTGGGAGCTGGAGTCCACAAGATTTAATTTTGGTGTCCTGTCATTTAGGTGATTTGAGAAGTGTAGGATAAAAGAAGACCCTTGGAGGCCTTCTAGTCCAGCCCCTGCTCAAGCAGGAAACCTTACACCATTTCAGACAAGTGACTCTCCAGTCTTTTCTTTAAAAACTCAAGTGTTGGAGCACCCACAACTTTTGGAGGTAACTTCTGTCCCACTGGTTATTTGTTGTAATTGTTGTCAGGAAATTTCTCTTTAGTATTAGGTTGCTTCCTTGGTAAATCTATGTTCACATCATCTATGACTAAGGAATATCAAAAGTAAGTGACATGTAGAGTTCAAGTCATATATTACATTGTATTGTATTGTATTGTATTGTATTGTATTGTATTGTATTGTATTGTATTGTATTGTATTGTATTGTATTG